TTGAACCATACATTTGTTTTCCGTTTTAAAAACTTGTTGATTCATGATTCTTTAGTTAGTTACTTCTATTCCTCGAGTTGTATGGCCTTGTTTGAGGATAAACAAGTTCAACTTGGAGAGAGTTTGATAAGTGCAAAAATATCGTTATTTTGTGTATGTAATTTGTGGCACTTATCGGTTATTTTGTTAATATTCGTTGAATAAATCCCAACTTTTTTTGTAAATATGTATACTTTGTATATAATTGAGTTTTCGATTCATTTATGTATCGTTTGATAGTTTTAATGTCTTTTTGTAGGTATTTTCACGTATTTGGAGCATCGAGGAATAAGGTTTCGAAGGCACGACTCCAGATAGGAATTTTTTGGACAAATTCAAGAAATAAAGTTGCTCCTGGGCGCGCTTAGAGCGCTCTCAGCGCGAGTTCTGGAGCACAGACAGAGGCCATCATACTTAATGCGATATTTGGCGCTTAGCACACTCTAAGGCGATTTAGTGAATAAATGAAGGAACACTTAGTGCAGGTATTAGCGCTTAGCACAGTCTGCGTAAATCAGATTTGTATATATAGATCTAAAATAGATTTTGTTAGGTGTTATCATCTCTTTCCCTCTTAGAGAAGCTCTGATCCAACTTTCTGTAGTTTAGAGGTTTACCCAACATCATTGGGTGGTGCATCTTGTCGATTGGTTATGGGTTGTCTCAGATCGTGTTGACACCGTGAAAAATTTCATATTCATCTCATTCTTCCATATGTATCATTCCAATGGTGGGTTTCATATGTATATCTTTACTCTTTATGTATTTACATTTGTTGATCATGGGATTGTATATATGCTTGCTTTACAAATCTTGATTGATGTTGTTCCTTGATCTTTTTACATTTATGTTTGGGGTTTAGGTTGTCCTAGAGATAGACTTCTTGAATCTTAGTTTGGGAATGATATCTATTAGTTTCTAGATGCTAGAGATAGATTTAGGACTAATAATCACCAAGGGTATCAGAGCTTAATGCCTCTATGTTGTCTGTGTTGCACTAAGAGATCGCTGGCGCGAGAAATACAGTTGTTTCAACTTTACATTAGATATAACCTTTGTTGTGGCACTTTTAAAATGATGGCCGGTGATTTTGATGACTAATTTAGGTTGCGTGCAATTGATCCACAAGTTTAAGTATTTGACGTGTAGAGTGAAATACGATTCCAGAATGAATTCTCTTAGGCTACAAATGGTTGTTTATCGCTTTCTTTATTGCTTTATTTACTTTTCCTACATTTTTTCTACAAACCCAATCTAAACTTAGAAGGATTGAAATTGTTGAACGATATTTTTCCCTCTCACTAATCCCTATGGAGACGATATGATATAACATATACAAAATGCTTACTTTTGCTTGCCACTTTATCGCTCCAGCAGCCTCCAATGGCTCCAAATGAGCTCCAAATATACCTTCTAATGTTGTAATCATCACTTGCAGTGTAAAATCGTAAAAACCTCGAAACAATACCAAAAATCCATTTTTAAAGAAGTTCAGGAAGTGTTAGAATGCATAAGAAACTGCCTTGAAAAAGGGCATATCGGACACATGATAACCTGTATTCCGCACAGAATGCAACTTATCCAAGCCCATCACGCACACGATGGCGCGCGATGGTGGCGTGATTTTTCCAATGGCTGACACGCGTTTGGTCCCTTTTCATCCAAAATTCCCCCTAAGTCTTTATTTCTTCATACTTGGTTCCTTTTGCCCCGTTCTTTGGCTACTCTTCATCAAATTAAGTGATCTTTGGCTCATTTTTCTCCGCTTCTTCGACAAAATTTATGCAATGACAAAGTGTAATCCGTAAATAAAGAAGATTCCATTGGTTTATTCAAGGTTACCATCCTTGGATTATCAGGTTTTTACGAATAACCAATGCCCTCTCCTCTGCTCCCGCTAACACCATAAATCGTGGAAACAAGTTTTTTCCTATTAAAGCAACTTATGGTAAACTCCCGAAGAGAAAATTTCATGCTCATCTTGGGGTTTATCTGTGATAACCCACATTTTGTGAGTTATTATATGGCATAATTCCTTTGTCTTAGCTTGTTTATTTGTTAGTTACTAGTTTAATTTATTGAGTTTTTGCTGTTTTTGTAGTAATTTGCACAGAGCACAATAGGTGCTCTCTTTTGTAGTTTTTATGTGTTTGTTTCTTGATACAAGGTTAACTATGATGATCTGAGGCAAGACAGTTGAGGAAAATAATTGAGAGTCCAAAGGAGAATTTAAAGCTAAAAAGAGCTAAGATAAAGAGATAAATAATTAACTTGATCCTTAGGGCATGATTGGAAGGAAGCTGCATTGGGGGGAATATTTGATTCTGTATTGGAAGAGTTTTTTAATTAAATGAATAATATTAATTGCGCTAGAAGATAAAAGATGGTACAAATTACAACAACTAATAGCGCGCCATGCAAAAAAGGACAAGCGCCACATGCACCTCTACTGCTGCAGTCTGCCATGCTATGCTTTTCCCCCCACCAATGTCTATACCCAATTCTTATTTTCGTGTGAAGGAGAAGGAAAATGAGGGAATTTACTGTCTTTCAACCTTGAGCCTGATTTGATTTATTCTCAAGCCCATGATCCAAGAAAATTGCAAAAGCCCTAGTTCATGCACTTATAAAAGCAACACTTGAAGAATGATGAATGAGTTCAACATTTGTTAGAGAAACACATATAAATTAAAACCAGTGAAGGAGAAAGTTGAGTGAAAATGAATTTTCTTCTTCTTCTCACCATCTTATGCGCCTATTGCTGAATCCCAGTGCGACAAAAGTTGTCACTTGCTGATTATCTATTGCAAAAGGACAAGACGTTGCTCTTAGGTTGTTATTTTCTTCTACTTTGTATTTAAGAATGTTTAGCCTAAGAATCAACTTAGTATCTTGTACTCTGTCCACCATGAGCTAAAACCTTGTTTGTTGAGTAATAAATAATTGGTTTAGTGCAGTCTTTATGTTAAGTGATGTATTGGTTAAGCCTCATTTTATTATGTGTTAACTTGTTACAAATTTGTTTCTTTGATTGATCAACTTAGAAAAAGATAACAATTTGTTGTTGTGAGAGATCCAACAACAAATGGATTTCTGATAAAAATGGTTGAAAATAGTATAATAGAGATATTCATTAGAATAACTTATTAGAAATAACGAGCTATAACCATAAAGGATTTTTAGAGTAAAAATAGACATGCTTTAGGATTACAAGTGAGGCTTAGAGATTTGTCCCCTTGCTCTAATTGTATATGCTTTTGATGTTGTAGAGGCACATCCTTAGGTCACTTCTGAGCTTTCCTGACATGAAATTTCACATCATGTACACATAAATAACTATATTATATTAACGAATTATTGCTCAACATAATCTTCATATTTGCACTTAACTTATATTTTCAACTATGACTTACTTTTGTTTGCTACTAAGCTGAACCCGTGACAACCATATATTCTTTTTATCTTGCTCACATTAATTTTCCAAAAATATAGTTCATTACTAAAGTCAATCTAAGTTACTTACACTCCTTATGAGTATGTTATCCTTACTTTTTATCACTTTATACTTTCCATCATACATGTATATTTGTCTGTGACATCACACGTTTTCAAGCAACAAGTTTTTGGCACTGTTTCTGATGAGTATCAAAGAAAACATTTTGATTTTTGTATGAAATACTATATTTTGTCTAGATTAGCATTTGAGCTTTTAAGAGTTCATGTACTCTGATGTCACGACAAATGCTTAGTTGTTGCATGCACATGTTGTTAAACCCGATTTGTAGAGAAGATCATGAACCTAAAAGAACATTTAGATTGCTTAAGAGATGTCAAGCTACTGGACATTTACCAAGAAATCCTCATCTCTTTCTCGTCTTTGACTTAGAGGAGGAACCAATACAAGCAGACGCTGCCATGGCAGATAACAACATCATTGACATCAGAGACTATGCAGTCTTTGATTCCAATACATCTAGAAATCATACATTTAGAAATCACTGTAGCTTAATTTGAGCTCAAGCCAATGATATATATATATATATATATATATATATATATATATATATATATATATATATATATATATATATATATATATATATATATATATATATATATATATATAAGAAGTTGTTGGGAATCGAACATACTATCAGTTCCTTCTTTTCCTTCGGTTGCAAATAGATAGAGGGAAAAAGTGACAACTTTCTACAATAGTCTTTAATACGTCGTCCAGAAAATCGAGATAATACCCTTTTCTCAATTAAGATAAAATAGTTTAGTTGAAGACTTTGTAGTGTTGATAGTCTGTGATCTAATACACTACTCACTTAATAGTTTCTTAGGTAGCATAAATCAAAATTTCAATGATGGTGAAATCAATAAGTTGTTTTCTCATATTAGAATATTATATTGAAATTTCTAACATTTAATTGGGTTATCTTTTTAATAACCTTCCATGAAACATAATTAGTGACTGCCTCATAAAGTAAGGTATATGACCTAAAGCAAATAAATACTCACCACTTGAATGTTTGGGGGCTCTCTTTCAAGCATAAAGGCTAAAGGAATTTCTTACATCTCACGTAAGCATACTTACTAGTACTCGTTGTCATTATTTTGTTTATCTTTTCAAAACAATTATTGATGCTGCATGATACACGATCTCTCTTCAAAACTTGATTTGGTTTCTACAAATTCTTAACACAACATCTTTTAGTAAATGTTATTGTGAAGGTTCTAATATTCTTACCCTCTCAAACAAGTCTAAGCCAATTCTGAAAAAGTGAACATATCAAAAGCAACAAAACATAACATATGATTGGTTACCTTAAAGTACTGTAATACAAACTTTTATATCCAACATAAACAAAAGAGGTAACTATTTTATATTCTTCACTCTATATAACATATTATTTACCATAAGTGAACAAAGAAAGAAAATAAGAGCCAAAAAAATCATGTCATCTTCTTCTACCTTAATAACATACATGATACTGTCCTTTTTGTTCTTTGTAAATATTGATGGCAATAATCAACCATGCAGCGATAAATTCGCGAAACTCATGGAACAAAGAAACATAACAGTATGCAAGAGATTACGAACTCAAGGAGCCGAATTCGGTTGGAACTACCACAACGGCACAAACTCAACCACAACACTTGAAATCTTATTTGGTGCAATTTTAGATACAAGCCAAGGGTGGATAGCTTGGGGTGTGAATCCAGGAGAAAGAGCAGAAATGATTGGAACAAAAGCAATCATAGGGATTAAAAACCCTGATTTTGCTACTACTTCATCACCACCTTTGAGAGTTCATACTTATGATGTTACAAAAGAAACCAAAAGCGGTTGTACTCTTTTACCTAGCAAAAACCTTGGCCTCAATGTTTCACATATGGTGTTTCAAGATGAAGGGTCAAGTTTTTATACTATATATGCTAGATTGGTTCTTCCTTCTGATGAGTATAACATAACAAGGTTGAACCATGTTTGGCAAATTGGACATGCTGTTAGTGATGAAAGTCCTTTGCGCCATCCAACAAATCTTCACAATGTGGATAGCACTGAGACTATAGACTTGACTTCTCCCCGTGGTCGTAGCACCGGACAGTTCCGGAGTTTCCTTCGATCGGTAACTAGTCCTTTTTCTCTTATACTACTATGTTAACGGTTCAATCATAGTTAGTTGCGGTCACATATATTCAAGAATGTCTCAAGTTTTTGGAGGTCTCTGAAAAATAAAGACCGATTTAACCAATACCAAATTTTAAATCATGTGCAATAGCCTGACTAATATGTCCTCAATGACGACGACCCTGCATATATTCAAGACAAAAATTGAAATTGGGTTGCATACTGCATTTTAAAACCATGAACTCAATAGATATATGTTTTCCATTCTAGTTTTTTTTTTTTATATATTGTGATTTATTATTATGATGAAATTTAGGTACATGGAGTTCTAAGCATTATAGGGTGGGGAACAATGTTACCTATTGGAGTAATAATCCCAAGATACTTTAGAGTGTATCCTTTTAAAAGGGAACCATTGTGGTTTTACCTACACATTGGTTGCCAATTAAGTGGTTTTCTTATTGGTACTGCTGCTTTTGTTATTGGATTGGTTCTTGGACACTCATCAAGATACTATATCTTCCACACACATAGAGATTTTGGAATTCTCATATTCACTTTTAGTACAATTCAGGTATTATTCTAAGTTCATCTTTTTCACTTCATAAATCATCTCCTATGAACAATTTCAATGCTTAAAACTCTAACTTTTTTCTATTTTTCAGATGTTGGCTTTTAGGTTAAAACCTAAGGCAACAGATGATTACAGGAAATATTGGAATATGTATCATCATTTTCTTGGATATGGATTATTGACTATTATAATTATAAACATATTCAAAGGAATTGGCATTTTGAATGGAGGTGATAAATGGAAGTGGAGTTACATTGGAATTCTTATATGTTTAGGTGCCATTGCATTTGCTTTGGAGATTTTTACATGGATTAAATTTATCATGGGGAAATGGAGAGACAACCACCATGATAAAAAGACAAATTTACAGCAAAATAAATAGAAGTTGGAGAATATTAGTGTTCAAAGTCAAAAGTTGGAAACACAATGGCCATGCATGTGAGAGTGAGAATATCACACTAGGTGTTGCTTGAATAAAATGTGTTTTTTTTGTGTGGATGTGTTTTGTTTGGTATATATTTTGTGTATGTAATAATTTATATTTTAATATTTAAATAATATGAAATAAATATTGAATCTCATTAAAATATTATTTTTTATTTATTGGTTTTGCGTCCTCTTCTTAATCACATAGAATCTTAATGTTTACTTAGAGCCAGAGGCTTTGCATCCCCTTATTAATTATAGATGATTTAACACACTTTCAATTAAGAGTAAGTTTGTATCAGCTTTTAAAAAAAAATTTTTTTTTTATATTTTTGAAAATATTACAATTTTTTATAAAATAGTTTTTCAAAATATTACAATTTTTTATATTGGTTTTTTCTAAATTGATGTCTTATAACATAAATATATATTATTGAAGACTAAAATATAGTCAAAATCACAATTTATTTTGGATTGAGTCTGTGGCTGATCCATCGTCGAGCACATTCCAATCCAGTTCTACGTCGAGGACGATCCAAAGTGTTGCCTCAATTCGTTGAGGCCAGTGGAGAACACGTTCCCCACGTGCTCCTCACTCGCTGACACATCACCAATCGAACCCGCACACCTTGCGTGACTGGCGGAACCGCTTTGCCCTTCATAACGGGCAAGCTCATCCACTACCAGTGGAATACGAAGCGGTTGACCCAGAACGATGAGCACAAGCCGCTCATCCCTACTTTCACATAGGAATCCTGACAATCATTCGTTGTGAGTCTGAACACTCGGTCCATAACGAAGACCATTGGCCAAGCGCTGAAGGCTCACTATAAAACCCTTCTCTGCAGGAGGGTCAAATATTCTATTCTTTTACCCTTTTCTTACTTACCTTTTCACCCGAACTGACTTAAGCATCAGAGTGCCTGAAGGTGCAACCCCCCTCTATTGATTGTTCAAGACTACAGATGTGTTGCTGGCCACTCACATACTCTGACCAACAGGTAAGATCAATGGCGTCGTCTGTGGGAAACCTATTTCCCCATCTTTTCTTTTCCCGAAACAAAAAGATCAAAACAAAAAACCTCAAAAACCGATCATGGCCGGTCAAGACGACGAAAATAACAGCGGTCACGAGACCATCATCTCTCTCGTCTGTAACGCTGACAATGACAGTGATATGGCACTTTTGGAGGAAGACACTCCATTGAGGAAAGACGGGCACATCGCTTCCCCCTCCTCCGACGATGGACCGACAATAGCGTCCAATACATTAAAACCTACAAAGTCTAGAAAACTCTAGAGAAGACACCAGAGAAATTTTAGCCGATTCCGGTGCCACCCAACACCGATCCTAACATGGCGGTCCGATTCGCGACCCTTATACAAACCAATGTGTTGATCTACCAAAAAAAATGAAAGGATCAGAGCATTGGAGAAGGATGAGTCCTGAAGATCCCCTCGGAGACACAGGCAGTATGAGTCCTGAAGCCCGTCGCTGCATCCCTTGATCATCAAGAAGCACAACCATACTCCTCCCCGTGAGGATCGATGCTCCCCAGGTGCCAAGAAGAGCAAGGCCAATCGACGACCAAATAATTATTGTTTCCCTCCGCACAAATCAAAGGACCGATCAAAGAACTTGCCACGATGACAGCCCTCGGCGAGAGAAGTACGACCATTTTGTGAGTGCAACTTCACTATTAGATGTTTTGTATGATGTCAAAACTCGAAAAACTAGCATTTTAGTATGGTGGATGGTATCCTTATGTCTTGTGTCGACACATTGAAAAATAGTTTTTGCATGTTTTTGCATTGCATGTGTCGACACATTCGATTTTCAGGTCGATACATGTAACTAAGTTTTTAAGACTGTAAGCTTCTGTAAGTCACAGGTCGATACATAAAACCTTCAGGTCGACGACTTTTGAAATTGCAGAAATTCTTATTCTATGTGTCAACACATTCAAATTTCAGGTCGATACATTTGCTCTCGTTTTAAAGCCTATAGCTTCTGACTTGTTCATGTCGATACATAGAGCCTTTCAGGTCAACACATGCATTCTTTTAATAACATACGTGTCGACACATACGAATTTGAGCTCGACACATAAAGTCTGTTTTGGTCAAATTTTCAATTTCTTTTATTCCAAATTTGTCATTTTCGCCCTAAATGTTTCCAACTATAAATATATCATTCATACATCATTCCAACTTGATAATACTATAAAATTAACATACTTTTTATCTTCATCTTCAACCTTCTAATCTATGTATACACACAAACATTACATTGTGATGATGTTCAATCAGGGTGCCATCTAGATGAAGAATTACGGATTTCCAATTGGTTTGGATTGAGTTCTTGCAGGGGTCTTCATTGTTGGTGCAATATAGCGGCAAATAACAAAAGTTTTGGAAATATTTATCCGGGAATTTACTGTGTCCACGGAGATTGGTTATTGAATTGTCGTTCGACAAATCTCTCGTTAATGAGTTTGGGGATAAATGGGTTTGTAAAGAAAATGTTATCAACAGAAAATAAATGTAAACAAAAGTAAAAACTAAGGAAGAACGTATCAAGCCTGCATATAATCTACTCAACACAGACTTAAATCTATCGACCAGTTACATTCAACCTAACAATACTCATCAGTGTCACTACGTATCACTCACAACCTAAGTCATTTCTAACCCAAATCGAGAGACCGACTGTATCACCAAGGAAATGATTTCTCTACCTCCTCAACAACACAAAAGACAACTATGTAATCACACTGACGATCTCTCAGCACAGCACAACCACACAGAGGCATTAAACTTTGATGCCCAAGTAGATGTCAGCTCTAAATCTATCTCTAGAGTTCAGAAACTAACAGATAATTATCCTAGATAAGAATCTAAGCAGTATATATCTATAACAACTCAAATCCCTAGCACAGAGCAAAAATCTAAGATGATAATCCACAAAGATTTGTAAATCAAGTTTTATATAACGCCATGGGCGACAAATATACATAAGTTCAGAGTAAAATACATACAAAACCCAACAAAAGAGAAACACATAGAGAGGAGAAGAGATAAACCACAAATCTTCCGGTTTGTCAGAGCCAGTCAATGAGAAATCCACCTCCAATCATCCATAAGCAAAGCCCTATTATTGTTATCTAAGCTAATCCACTACAAAAACGAGGTGGATGGAGTTGAGAGAACAAAAATCTCTCCCAAAACCAACACCTTACAAATGAAACAAAAAGGAAAATGTAAAGAAAATCTGATCCGTGAGAATCGCTTGGAGAAATAAAGCATCACCCGTCGAAAGCTCTTATTCACAAGGCCCAAGTTGCACCACGTCCTCAATTTGAAACAAATATCCTCTTTCGCCTGGCGACAGACTCACGTCGCCCGACGATACATCTTCTCCTCGCCCAGCGATCCAACAGCGAAGCAAGGCAAGGACTTCAACAAAATTGTCTTCAAATTTCTCCAGGCGATGCATGACAGGAAGGTAACTTCTATCGCCTTCTCTGCATAACTTATTATGGCTCAAATCTTGGCCTTATTCCTTTATTGATCCAAAAATGCATCTTGGAGCTTTATTCCTCATTGCTCCAATAATGCTCAAATACCTACAAAATAAATACAAAACTATCAAACGATACACTTTATACAAGTAAATGCATTATACACAAACTAAATGTATTTACACATAATTCGGGTTATTCAACAATATTAACAAACAAAAAGTAGATAAGTGCAACAAAACATATATACAAAAATACCTTCCAATCTATGTATACACACCAATATTACATTGTGACGATGTTCCATCAGGGTGCCATCTAGATGAAGAATTGCGGATTTCCAATTGGTTTGAATTGAGTTCTTGCAGGGGTCTTCGTCCAGAAAAACCATCGGGTTTGTCCTCCAAAATCATTTGTTGAATTGAGGGTTTTCGTGCGAGATCGTGTAAGATGGAATTATCCGTGTGAAAATCCCTTGGAGTGTTTGAAATCTTTTCAAGGAATCTTACAGTGTTTGAAATATTTTTAAGGAACTAGCAAAAATTGGATGATAGAGTCAGTGATCTTGTGTTTATAGTGTGCAATCGGATTTACTCGAGTGAAAAATGTCTTGGAGTGTTTGAATCTTTGCAAGGAAACTTGGAGTGTTTGAAATATTTTAAACAAAGTAACTTAAGCGACAAATAGGTTGCATCTATCGGTCTTAGTCTTGTTGAATATCAAAAGAGGAGAAAGGGTTGAATCGATATCAAATGGTTATATTTTGTATAGTTGCTTTCAACACTTCTCTTGTAATCATACTTTGGCAAATTAAGAAATTATCCTAATTCCAAATTTGGAATCGGAGGCAGATGTATCCATAGAGAGGATGATTAGTGAACTTCCTAAATAAATCCTTGTGTCTTTTTCTTTTATTTCTTTACTTGCTTTAATCTTCATACATCGATTTGTCAAATAGTATTGAGTAATTTATCGACGCATAGGAATTTTCTGAAATGGTTTTTGTTTTGAATTGTGTGTTGAGTTGCTTATAATCACTTTTGATTATAAGTTCTTTTTCATATCAACACAACATAAAGTAAAATTATGAAACTTTGATTGCACGCCAAGTGTTTGACAAATTCTTTAGCTTGTTTAGTTTAAAGGAAAATTGCAATGTTCTATTTGTTACTTTCATTTACTCTCTATATGCAATGTGTGAATGTGTTGTTTGATCGATTGACTAGTATAGAATTTCTCTTTGATTATTAAAGTTTAAATTTCTTTGTTGATTAGCTTATAATCACTTTTATTGTAAGTGTTTTTGCATATAAACAAATCTCAAAGAAAATTCTGAACAATTGATTGCGCGCCACATGTTCGATAAATTGTCATGTTATGTTTTTAATATGATTTCATTGGAAATAGGAAACCGTTGTATTGAATACTAAACGGT